ACACATTTTTGCAAAATACATAAATTGGCAAAATAAAGAGGAACATCGTAGTTTGGTTTAAAGAAAGCAATTTAGTTTTATTATAATTTATGTTTGTTGCAAGGATGGTCATGACAAAGAAGGGCTATACTGTATATACTGCATGCATCATTTAGACAGTTAACAATATATTACTTCTTGAGCTCTTTCAGTTATTTACTGTCACAGTTAGGAGCTTCGGCTGGAGAGGAAGTATTGGGGCCGGTATGATTTAAGGAGGGCCGGCCCTCACACGGCCCACCACAGATTACCAGTCTGAGCATTATATATATAATACATATCACCGTAACAATATAATAAATACATGTATATTACATTTACATAATCAATTTAGCACTTTTGGCACATCAGTATTATTTTGCTCCATTAACACATTAATTTTATTGTGATTGATTTGTATAATATGTTATATTACATGATTTATAGACTTTATTGACTTCATAATGACTATGCAATTTGATGTGCCTATTTTTTTAATTATAAGTTATAGTAATCTACTGATGTTATGAAACAGCCAGTGTGTGTCAAAGTGTTGAATTTATATTTATTTTAAAATTTGAAGTCCCCCCTTAAAATCAGAACATCAGCGTTGTTTGATGCTGTAGCGCACAGATTGTTTACATTGAGATGCGGTCTACCTAGGGAGTACCAATATGGCGGCCAGTGGCTTCACTTCAAATTCTTACTACCAACGGGCGATCAGCAATCCAGGGAATAAATAGAGATCAGAGGGCAGGACCTTATTGGAATGGAAAAAGAGGTTGAGCGAAGATAAGAAAGGAAGAGGATTATTTAAGGTACAAAAATCAGTATTAAATAAAAATATTAATGAGAGAAACAGAAGGGAAGAAGTAAAAATGATCAGATTAAAGTGGGTCAGACCTATTTAAAGGACAATTTATATTTAATAGGGAGGAAAAATAAATGTCATAGGAAGTGGAGAAAAATAAACTTATGAACATGAAAGGGAGAAATTAAGAAGAATGATTGGAAGGACAGACCAAGGATGGAGACTTAAATGAATATTGGAATATAATGAAGGAAATATAAAGGATATTTACTGATTAAGAAAAGCAGGATTGATTTATTTACAGAATACAAAATAAAAAAAATAGAATTTGATAGATGTAATGTTGCTACACACTCATGTACAGTAGATCGCGGTATTTAACTTAAGTTGATTGCGATCCGACATAATAGAAAAGAAGAAGAAGACGTTCTTGGATCCGCCAGCAGGGGGAGCTACTGTCGGCTACTTCTCCGAAACACCAAATAAGGAAATGACGTTGTGAGCGTGTGGCGATGTCCGCAAATAGTAAGTGGGTGAAACACGTTGAGGAGAACCATCAGAGTCTCTGCGGACACTAAACCAGGTTAGTTTAACCCGGTTTAAAGCCGCTCAGAACCAGAAAGCTGCTCTTTCACCGACAGGAGGGAAGCTAACGGCGGCTAACGGCTAAAAGCGGCAGTTTGCTGTTAAACCAGCAGGAACTGAAGAGGTTTGGAGCTTTGAAGCGACTTTTTAAAAACTGCTTTTTCTCACCTATTTTCCTAAATGTTAAATAATACATATTTAAAGCCTCTAACAGAAAGGTTAGGTCAGAAATGTAAGCTGAAAATCACTGAAGCTCATTAAGATCATGATGGCTGATGACAGCTGGGTTCCTGCCAAATATGGTCAAGGTTACTGCTTGACTTCCTGACTGACAGGATCTGATCCCACCTGTCAGAGGGCGGGATTTACCAGACCGGATCTGAGCTGTGGACCCCTCCATCCATCCATCCTCCTGTGTTCATGCTTTATAAATGATCCAGAAAGGATGGAGGATGTTTACTGATGAATGTTTCTTGGACTTTGACAGGATGGGGGACATCGTGGAGGACCAGGCCAGCTTTTATTCCAACGCAGAAGACTACTGGAAGGAGGTGGCCCCCACCGTGGACGGGATGCTGGGAGGATACGGCAGCATCTCCAGCATCGACATCAACGGATCCAAGGCTTTCCTGAAGAAATTCCTCGGGGTAAGACGCTCATGTTCTCTGGAGCCGTTCTGTGTCCCAGATCCCGTCCAACCGTCTGCGTTCGACGTCTTCTGCAGGAAGGCGAAGGGAAGACGGGGACAGGCTGCGCTCTGGATTGTGGAGCGGGAATCGGCAGGATCACCAAGCGGCTGCTGCTGCCTCTGTTCAGAACCGTGGACCTGGTGGACGTCACCAAGGAGTTCCTGGATAAAGCCAGGTCCTACCTGGGGGACGACGGGAAGAGGGTGGGGAACTACTTCTGCTGTGGCCTGCAGGAGTTTGTGCCGGAGGCGGGGCGGTATGACGTCATCTGGATCCAGTGGGTCATCGGTGAGTCGTGGAAAACCGGGCCCCTGATTCTGCTTTAGTTCTGACCCGATATCGGTCTCAACATTTCATTTCAAACACGAACTATATTACAACAAAAGTAGAAACACTGGAGGAAAACGTTTAACATTTTGACTGAGATCTGAAAAGTGTGGCGTGCATTTAACTAGCCAATAAAAGGGAAGAGTTGCTGAAAGGTTCCTTTATTCCAATAAATACATCAGAGAAAATGTTTTTAAGACTTTATTTCTGTTTTAATGAATAACAATTTTTATTGGACCAATTTAAAAACAGCTTTAAAAACACAGATCCTACATTCCTTTAATTCAATTCAGTTTATTTCTATAGCGCCAATTCACATCATGTCATCTTAAAGCACTTTACAGTTCAACCAGATCATCCAGTCAGATTGATTCAGTTTTCTATCCAAGGGAAACCAGTTGATTGCATCGACTCAT